ATGATTCTTCTCATTTGTGTGTATGTGTTATTCAACCTATAGCCCTAACCATCTGCAAAACTGATTTCAGTTGCTAGGGATTCATTTTAGCTAGTGCATGTCTCTTCAGAGAAGAAATCTTTAAAAATGCTAATAAAGATAATAATGAACTAAATTTGGCATGCCTAAAAGAATTAAATGCACACATGCATCAAGATTCCCTCTAGCTTGGTATTTTGCACCAATGTGCCATCAAAAATGACTGAAAGACTTAGGAAGAGATGCTGCGATTATTTAATCTAAATTAAAGGCACTCTCTGCCTTTGGAATTCAAGATGTGCTAGTGAGCATGCTGCAGAAGGCTCATTTAGAAATTCTGCCTGGGGATAAAAATAACCTGGGAAGGTTTTGAAATTTTCTAAAACCAACCCGCTGACACCAATCTTAATTCTGAAATATGGTTAAGGAAATTACCACTGATTAGCTGGAGGGAAGAGAAAAGATAATAAGGGTGCACTAATCACATTTCCAGCACAATGAAACCGAATCAAATGGAAGCAAGCTTTAGGGTCAAGGACTTCCTGATGCTCTGTCCCCTCCAGAGGAATTCCAGACCTTTTGGTGCAGAGCTGGAAATAAAGAGAGCTGCCAGAACTGGGCTGTAAACCTGAGCAGGGAGGGGAGGGAACGGTAGGACACACAAGTGGGACTGTAGGGCACACTCCTGGCAGGAGTGGGAAAGGCTAGAGGAACAGGAAGTAGAGGAAAGGAAGACTCCCATCTTCCTGCAAAGAACCTGGGGGAAGAGGGGATGAATGGGGAAAGACAGCCATAAGAAAATGGGATACTGGATAAGAAGTGGGCAAACTCCCTTCCTTGTGAAAGAGGATCTGACAGCCAAATCAGAGTCCTGCTTCCCTTATTCCCCTCTTGCCAAGATTGAAGAATGATGGGAAGATGACTGAGTGAGCTTAACAGATGGGCTTGTACATCCCAGATTGCTTCAGGTTGCATTAATCTCTGCGGTGGGCTCTCATTTAGCTGAGAAAATGTCACCAAAACAAACGAACCGGAGCAGACTGAGACGTGACCAGAGAATCTCTTCTGCATGGTGTGGGTAGAGGCAGGCAGGCAGCATTCCCACTTGTCTGCTCCCTGCAGCCCCTCCAAAACTCATCAAAGGTACCCCTGGCTGATTGGTATAAATGCCTCAGGTCAGCAACAGAGAAATCAGTAGGAACTGGGAGTGTGGATGATGGCAGGGAAGTGAGGTGACACAACAGAGGAGTCAAAGCAGTCAGGGGACAGAGCAGTGGCCAAAATACAAAACAGATACAGTCAGGTGTTGGGAGAACTGCCTTGGAGATGAGCACAATTCATTTCTGTCCATAACCCCTCAAATAATCCCTGCCTGCATGTGCATCTCCATTCCAGGAACATGCCAGTACTTCTACTCTTGCTTCCTCTCCTGGCTCCTGAACCAAAACAGTCCTTTCAGTACATGAAAGCTCCAGGAATTAAACAGGATGTTTTGCTGAGCTTGCTGAGAACATCCACGAGGGTGGAAATGAACCCCAAACCAGAAGAGAGGGGCAGCAAAAGAACCAACAGGCATTTGGTGCATTATTCCAAAAGAGGCAGAGTAGTGAATCATGAGACAATGCCATACAACAGAGGACACCAAATATCTCAGTTCAAAGTATGAAAGCAGACTTAGGATTGCCAAAAGTTCCTTAACACTTCTGTAAAGTAAAGAGTGAAGGTAAAAGGAAAGTGGGGAAAACTTCAGGTCACACAAACAGAATTTCAGAAAATGCATGAATACAAAGCAAATGCCATTTACATTTTGCTTTAATTAGTCCGTCCTTGAACGTTATTCCCACACACCAACCATTACATCTGCTAGGACTATTTCCAGTTTCTAAAGAAACAGTGGAGGGAGCAGACAAACATTGTGGACATGTGTTTGTTCCAGAAGCTGCTGCACTCAGCAGAACCGATTGAAACCAACTGTTCAGTGCCCTGAGTGCCACCCAGTCTCCTGCAAGCCCAAATATACCCCAAAGGAGAATATATTCTCCTCTGGTCCACTCAGGGATCACCACACCCCTGTCACACATGGGCTACTGACACCATTTACTAAAGTGGAACTGAAAGGGGACACCAGATTTTGGGGGTTTGAGCCCTCTCTCATCAGCTCCTGGTGATGTTCCCCATCTCAGCCCCCTCCACTCCCCAGGGACAGAGCATCCCCACAGCTCCTGGATCCCAAAGCTGCAGGAGGCAGGAGCAGCACATTCGGATTCACCACACCACCCTCGCTTGGAGACTGGCTGGATACTGTCTGACAATGCATTTTGCTTTAATGCATAAATTTGAAGCAATGTAATTTCCATTTATATGTGCACTCTGCTGGCCAGAGCAGCTTTCCTGTTTTTATCAAGCAGACAAAAGGTTTAAGCTCTATAAAAGGTGGCTGATATTTAAGTTTTAATAAAAATATATTTCAGGTATGTCATTCTTTCCTTAGGCTGACCTAGCCTACAATATATTATTTACATAACTGCTGCAATATCTATTTCAGAAGTGACTCGACAGCCCTCTCCAGAACTGTAAGCTGCCCTGCCTGTCACTATGATGGGTAAACACTGTCACCTTTTCACAGTCCAATGAAATATAGAGAACTAGTAAAGTGCACCATCCATCACAATGGCACTAAGTAGGTTTTTGAAGTAGATTTCAGATCACAAATGCTCACATTTTTACTCACAAATGCTGTTTAGACTGTTACCAGAAAGCACAAATTGGATGGCTCATATACAATGGCCGTATGATGAATGGACATGACAGGTGGTCAAAGAAAATGAGTCTTGCTGTTCTACAAATAACCTTGTCAACATCAAAGTGGAGCTGTAGCTCTGCTGGTAGCCAGACTGCAATAGCTTAATGGTTTTATTTGCTTCAACTTCTAGCAAACCAAACAGACAAATGAGATACAATGAAGCAGCAGCATCCAGGCAGTATTAGCAATTCAGCCTGATTAAGTGACACATAATAGGAATTTTCTGCTAAGGATGTGCCACATTTGAAAGAAAATTATTCACGTTATGAGTAGCTGTTATAAAAATACCTGCTCACAGGAAAACCCTCGTGATTTTGCAATCACAAACCACTGCAGGATATCCAAAATACGCGACTTGTAGTTCCACTGCAAGCAATCAAGTCACTTTCTGATGGCTGAGCCCAGCAACAGCCACCACCTGCTACTTCTCATTTAAAGTTTTTCTACTTCCATTAGTTTAAATAGTAGAGATTAGTGTGTAGGATTGAAAGTCAGGAAGGTTAGATAGTGCCAATTTACCTATAGCCTAAACAAATAGGGAAATCTCCCTTTTGGGCAAAAACTCTACATCCAAGGACATTTCAGGTAGATTTTTTGAAGAACAGAAGAACACATCTCAAGTTTTGTAATGGTGCTGAGGTATCTCAAAGAATTGATGTAAAACCATGCAGAGAGTCATTCCTTAGCTCCAGTGCAGAGCTGGAGTTTTGCCAAAGCCAAGGTCTAGCCCTTGTGATGAGGATGGTGTGTGTGGTCCTCATTTCCGCTGAACTCAAAAAAGCAAACTGCCCTGGAACATAATGGAGAGTGGAGCCCGTGCTGCTGGGAATAACAGCAGCGGTTTTTCCCGGAACATTGGATTTCCTTCAATCTGATGAATTTGTTAGCACCGCATTGACATTCATGAAATAAAACCTCAAAGGTCACAACCATTCTTCTCTCTGATTACAGGTACTCTTACTAAGTTACAATGAGAAAATAATATTAAATATGGAGTTTTTTAAGTGATATGAGAAGGCAATCACATTCATTATTACATGTTAAAGTTAAAGCATGTATCATGCAAGTTAGGACCTCTTCTTGCCTACTTCATTTTGCTTCTCAGCAACAAATTTTAAGTGGACAGAGCCCCAGAACGAGGATGACAAGACTCAGCCTGGAGAGGAGACATGTTTAAATATTAAGATGTCCACAATCTGTTCATTTATAGTCTGTAAGTGTTCTAAGCCATGAACAAACATGTCTTTTAAATAAGACAGAAAACAAGATGGAAACCCCCAGCATCAGTGAAATAATACAGTATTTTTGAAAGGAGGAAGATAACAATAATGCAATTAGCAGTGAAATTGCAATTTTTGAATTTCAGAAATAATTTTTAAGATTTACACTATCTCAGCTAGGAAGCTAAACAGAAATGATGGCTCCTTCGTGCAGTCTCAAAATATTTAGTCAGAAGCTCAAGGAAAACATACGGGGAAGACAGTACACAGGAAAAAACAAGATAATCCAAGATCTTATTTCACTTGGCAAGTAACAAATCCAAATAGGTAGAATCTTTTTGCTGACAAAACTTCCTAGAGTAACTGCAGTAAGATAAAACCACAAATCGGTGTTTTCAAGAGGAAACAGAGCAGATATGTCAACTGAATTGTCACAGAAGAAACTATGTGAGATCCACAACCATAATTCAGAGGCTCCAGGTATTAGCCCAGCACTCCCACCAGTCTCATCCTTCCTACAAGCATCCCTCAAACCAGAAGCACTCATACATCAGCAAGGATAAAGTGAAACTCTAGACACAGCTACCAGATTTTTACACACAAGCAAAATGTGCCAATTCATAAACAGATACTTAAAAAATAAAGACACTGTGTAATTAGATTCACATAGATATATGTGAGTGTATATCTATATCTATCTCCTATGAAGTATTCATAGACATAAGGTTTTAAGGTTAATTAAGATAAGTACGATTGGCCACATCATAATTCACATAAATATGGTTATTTTAAGGCTGGGCATTTCAGCATATTTTCAATTGGATTTGATGATCTTAGAGGTCTTTTCCTACCTAAATAACTCTGTGATTCTGTGTGTAATTTTCCAGTCAGGCTCAGTAAAATCTGTTGTTTCCTAACTCTATTTCACCATAAGTGACAGAGACAAATGGCCACGTTACCTCAAGAGTTCCTTTGGCAGAATAAGCTGCGTAGGAGTACAGGAGGTCTGGGCTGTGAAGTGTTTTGGGGTCTGTGCTGCACTGCTGTCCACTTGGATAAAAGCATTCCCCGCTGCTTTGCAGAGTGACTGTGTTTGAAGCAGGGCCTGGCAGGTCAAGCAGAACGGAGTAATTCACCAGCCGGACATCCTCCAGGCCTTGGGAACGCCACTGACCCTGGATTTTCACTGCAAGGTCTGCATCATCATCTCCTCTGGGGAACTCTAACAAATCTCTGAAAAAAAAAACCACACAAGTAAAGTTTAGTTTATTTCCCAATCAGGACTCTTGTAGGTTAGTATGCACCACTGCAGGACTTTATTAAAAACATATCATCACACATGCAAAAAAACCATACAACTTTCCCATTTTCTTACTAAGTATGAGAAAAAAGCAACTGCTTTTTTGGGAAATAAAAATAAGAACAAAAAGGTATGTATAGGAAGCATATCCAAATGAAATAAAGAATCCAACAGAAATTATCACAGTAACTGTTTCAAAATTCACACATCATTTGCTTATCAAATTTATAAAATAGCATAAATTTAACCAATCTTTTAACATGGAGAAGCCAATCTGAAGTAACATCTCAAGGACGTCAGAGAAGCCATGATGCTGAAAATTGGTTGTAATTATATAGTTATAATTACATGTTTGGCTTAAATTCATCAAGGAAAGCAAATTTACTAAGCAGAATGGAACCATTCCCCCAAATGATGTGCTCACTGTCAGCAGGTTCTTCACATTTCCTACCTGCACTGAAGGATTACCTGAGCCGCCAGCTTGGCCAGCAGAAGGGGCAAACGTGGGAATTATTTTGGCAGTATCCACTGATGGGTCAGTGGGAACTCGGGTTGGTCTGGGCTGGCATCACTTTCAACAGTGGCTGGCACAGGGGCCACAGGATGAAGGCACCAAAGGACCACCCTCCTCCCCAGCACATGCCAAAGGATTCCAGATGCTGAAATTATTGCCATGATAACTTCAGAGCATGGGATTGCTGAAGGAGCAACTGAAGGTTTCCCCTACTTATGCAGACAAGCAGTCACGTAAGCAAAGGACAGAAATAAAATTCAATACTCAAATAAAAAGCACTACCCACGTGCACCACAAAAATATGGAATATTTGCTTATGGAATATTTGCTGAATTCTGTCAGGTTGGGTTTTTGGAGGTTTTTTTTGTGTGTCTACAAAGCTCTCAGGAGTGAAAAGAAGATTAAGGACCACAGATGTGTGATTTCCAAGCACAGAGTGAAGAGATAGTGACACTGCCTGAAAGCCTTGTCCACAACCTTCTCTTCACAAAAAGGCCACTAAACCTAACTACTTTAAGGTCCCCAACAGAACTTCAAAAAACACCCTGGCTGTCTTGCACACATCAAAAAATAAACAGTTGAATAATGTATAGTATTTTTAAGCAAGCAACAGGTATCTGAGAATCCCACCAGGTGCTTTCCAAGTACCCCTGGAATATCCAAAACCAGCTGCAGTGCTGCAGGTGGGAAGCTCCTGGCTAAAGGTTCTGGCTCTGCTTCTAGAAGGGTCTGCACTGCCCCAGGAGAGCCCAGCAAACAAAGCTTATGATGGAAGCCAAGCACAAGGGCTCCCTTCTCCACTCATCTTGTGCTGAAAGTTTGAAAAATGAACATTTACTGCCGAGACAGCATCAAGGCCTTAAAAGGGCAGAAAGTAAAATTACAACACCTATTACATCTAGAAATGGCTCAAAAATTACCTACTCCATTGAAATGCCTAATGCCCATCATCACATTATATGGGCAGAATGATTATTCCAACATGCAAAAGTTTTTTTTTTTAAACAGACAAATCCATGTATAAATTTGTTTTTTATAAAATATATTTATTCAAAGCAATATGTTGTATCCCTGGCTGCATTGCTCCAGCAAGGCTGTTCACACACAAAGTTCAAAATCTTTACAACAACACTGGCCTTATGTTGAGACTTAAGGGATCCTGTCAGGAACAATAACTGTCTTGCAGATTTAATGTTTTTAAATTATCTAAAATAAGTCTTTGAGCAGTCTAGACCACACAGATGACTTAATCCAATCTGCAGTATATTACAAGTTTCCAATTTCATCTCCTGTGCCTGCTAATGTAATGACATAAACTTGGGCAGTGCAGAAATACAGAAAGTTGTTTGATTAACACAATCATTAATGGAATAGCTGCATTTCCCTCAGGTGATAGAAACATTATTAGAATAAATAATTAAAGAAACTTATCCCAGGCCAATAGGGTTATGGCACATTGTAACCAGAAGTATTCAGTCACAATAAAAGGAATTAAGCATTGAAAGAGGAAGATACAATAAGCAAATTGCTCCCTTACTAATAGAAGTAACTTTCCCCTTCATAATTAAATCAGCATGTCTTTGAAACTTTTGTGACAACAATTCTGATTAAGTTACAGAAATTATCCCACTCACTATTTACACCATAATGTCTTTATAGCATGTTAAAATCAAATTGCAAATTATGAGCATACATTATTTTACAATAAATCAGCACATATTAGACTACTTTGATAAATCTTATGAAAAACACCAGAAAGATTTTTTTTCTTCCCGGAGTTATTACAATAGCTGACTTGCATTTGCCTTTGATGCTGACTGCATGAACTTAAAGTCAGAGGAAACTGAACTCATGATTTTTTTTTTCACATACTAATTGCACAACAAGTAAAATACACAAAACCAGTATTTCCTAAACCCAGTCAAATCCAGAAAATTATCAAGTTTAGCAGTTCAGCCTGGAAGAGTATCAATACTTCACATGCACTTCACAGTTCTTCTTTCCAAATGCTCAAATTATTTAATTCCTAGAATTTACAGGGCTCAGAGATTCCCAGAGTGGATTTCAGCAGTGGGGAGGAGCAGCCCCTCGGGGTGAGGATGTTCTCCCCAAGCCGCTGCATGCTCAAAAGAACCAAAACCAATGCAATTGCCAATTTCCATTTACAGCACTGCCTCTGAGAACTTCAGCCAAATTTTTGACTCCCTTTGGTCACATTAAGAAGATACTTTATTCAGGCATTTTTTAAGATTTATTCAATGGGAATAACAACAAAGTTTATGGGCACATCTCTGTTGCTGTAAATTTACATAATCCAGCGAAGTGAAGCCACCACAGACTGAAGATTTGGTCTCAAGTCAGAATCAACACTAATAAATGTGAAAATGCCAGTCTGAACACTCCTGTGCCTTTATAGGATGCTCTCAGAGATTTCCATAAATTCCTGACCTTTACTTTCTAATACAGATCAGTATGGAACTAATGTATGTCAGAACAGGACATAAACTCATTCTTGAGCATTCTTCTCCATCTCAAAAGGCTTTCAGAAAAAAAAAAAAAAAAACAGGCAAAATTGCACTTAAAACCTAGAAAGTGCACCAGATTTCACTTGTATAAGGTAGAGATTTCCCACTTTCATGTGATGAAAACATCACCACTATTGAAGATTCAAAGTCCTTAACGTAGAATAATAATTTTAAATATGTCAAAAATACATCTGTAATAATGCCAGGTGTTCTGCAGCCTCTGCAGCATCAAAAGGCTGTCCTTCACCAGAAGATTACAGAAGATAAATGAACACACACACAAAATATACAAATTTCATTTTCAATTTGGTAACCATGGGGAACACAGACCTGCCGTGCCTTAATGGAAAGTCATTTGCTAGAACAGCATTTTTTGACACAGCTTGCCAAAGGAGAGAACAAGGTATTGCAAACAAGCCAGCTGGGACACTGAACCACCACTCAACAGATACTGAAAAATTACAACAGGTCGCTCTAACAACCAAGAGATGGAATAATTTAACTGTAAAACACAATTATTTCTCAGATAATCCTATTAAATTGCTATAAAACCCCAAGAAAAAGAATTGGAATTGCAGAAGGATTCTACAGATTCAATCTGAAAGATCTACAGGGATCAAAATTCCCCACAAATACGTAAAACTTCATTGTGGTTGGTTTGGTTAGTTTTTTTCTTTTCAGATTTACCACCTGTACTGAGCATGAGGAACTGCCTACACTTCCTGGCCTACTAAGAAAAAATAATCTGAATTCCAGTTTTGCAGAGTTACGTGTTAAAGTGCCTTATTCCCATATTTTGACTGTAAATTTCCATTGTTTTCTTCCAGTTCACTGAAATTGTTCATAAAGGAACTTTTTAGGTAAGAGCTAACAACAAATGCCATTTTGGAATTTTTACAGATTGATTTTTCAGCTGAGTAGCTGCTCTCAGATCCTGTGAGTTGCAATGACTGCTCATATTTTGTAAAGCTGCATCAGATCAAAGTGTTCTCTTGTCTAACATGATGCTCCCAACAGTAACTAGCAGCAGATAATCACAGAAGAATGCAGGAAATGCATCACATGGGGTTATTACATTTATAGCCTCTCATGCAAATATCTTTTTTTTTTTTTTTTAAACCTCAAACTTTGTCCAGGCTGAGTTTTAAAGATGTTTTCATATGTTGAGGATTTCAGAGCTCGTTTCAGTCCATTAAGAGCCGAGCTGTGGTACCCACACACACCAACTGCTCAGCAGATGCACCAGCAGCATTTCCCACACTTGCAGAAAGAGGAGTTATTTGTGTCCATCACACACGGTGTGCACACACAGGAAACGCTCAGGAAATACCACCTGCCCAAGCCACATCTGCTTCAATTTTAATTACATGTTCCTGTTAATTAGGGCACTCCTCTGGGCTGGTCTCCAACCTGCCTGTTTGGATTTCCCATGGTCTGAACTGATGGCCACAAATTTGCTGCTCCCAAAATACAGAAATAAATAAATTCAGATCCAAGAGAGGATAAATATTTACCAGGAGGTGAGAGAAACATGCTCACAGTGCAAAGAGGTGCATGCAGGATCCTGAAGCACCTCAGGTTCTTCAGGTTACACTACAAGATCACCAGCACCTGCTGCAGAAAAATGCTATGAAATGTCCTCTGTCACATCTACCATCAGTCTTCATACATTCTGGATACTCTGGGCATATTTCAATAATAATAATAATAACACTAATAACAATAACAATAACAATAATAATAATAATAATAATAATAATAATAATACAATTAACCCTTGCTTGTTCTTGGGTAACAACTTACTGCTTTTGCTGTCTAAGGGAATATTTACAGATCTGCACCCAAGATTTTACATATTTTACAATATAGATTTTAACATGCTTTAACATAAAGA